GTGCATTGTGTCCAACAAAATGTCTCCCTCTACCTAAACGAAAATCCTGGACATTGCTTGATGCAGTGATTATTACTGCAGAAAGAATGTTAATGAAATCACTAAAGGTAATTTTTTTAGCTAGATAGTTGATCTGACAGCTTTGTGCTCTAAAGGAGCGATCTGCCATTTATAAGTTGGCAAAACTTCAATTGAATGTTTTGACGATTGGTTTATATAAACGCCTTATATCAGTAGTTACATAGCTCACATTCATCTTAAGAAAATTCATCAACTAGGGCACTGCTCCGTTTTAATTAAAATTATCGCTTTTAGGGAATTTAGATGGAAACCGTAAGGAAACAATATAGATCTAGTAAGATATGTTATTAGTTTCTTCACAAATACAGCATTTGGAGTAAATGACTCCTCGAGAGTTAAATACGCTCCACCTACGTAAACTTGTCATCTGAACATAGGTCAGTGACCACGCCCAAAATGCAGCTATTTCTGTTCGGAGAAATGGCTACTTCTCCGAAGTAAAAGAGTAATCCCATCCATTACACCAATCAACACACCAAAGGTAGACATTTGTTTAACCTCATTGCCGTTATTTATAACGAATATGCCGCGCGCTACGAGTCCGATAGCCCTGCCTGCTATTGGAGTCGCACTTCTTGTCTCATTTGTTTCTGCCTCCAATTTTTGGTGTTATAATTGCTCAAGTGCGCAAAGTGGATGTGGTCCACCTCTTGACGTTAGAACTCAACATTGGAAATATTGCTCTGGTGTACCTGTTTATGAACAAATGTGTGTTAAGATTATCGAGAAAGTTAATGGTACGTAGTTTACGTCAAATGCTTTACCTATCATTTGTGCGTGATTTGAATAAGTTATAGCTGGGCCCCTTCGAATGTGATTACATTTTATTTGCTTAGAGTCCTTACTAGACACAAAATCTTCAAACCTATTGAATAACAAGCATATTTTAAGGTAAACTTAAACAGATAAAAATGCTTTTGTAATTCCACTAATTACAATGCGCACAATTCTATCACTCGGTTCGTGCTTTTAAATCCTGCGTGGCTGTGCACCATTATCCCTCCCCAAATGTTGCTATCAAACACATGGCCCATATGGTCTTATGGGAACCGCTGCTTAAAATTGTGGATTTCACTCCTGATTGCACTGGCTCTCGTAAAAGACTTCAAATTAATCATCGATCTCAATTACTATTGATCGTTTAACAAGCACCTCTTACATTTCACACAAATTGCACAGTTAGCGAGAGTTCTCTAAACCGTTTGTTTGCAATTTGGCTGGAGATTAATCCTTTTCCATTGACAAACTGTCCCTTCAGATCAGATTACTATCACTCGTGGTTGCCTCAGTGACCTCCTATTGACCACCCAAATCCGACTCGACATCCCTAGAGTGCGTCGCCACGGTTACTGCCTCTACTCTGTCTCAAATCAGCGCTACCTACATCAGCATCTCCGTGGTTCCGAGCTCGCTCTCTGGGCCATGGGAATGTTGCGACCCGAAACTGAAATGTACAAGCTCTACTGCTTTTGTGATGACTGGCCTGGTTGCAATTCCACTTCCACACCCCACCTTTCTCTTCTTTTATTCACAATCACTGCAGTTCTGCTATTAGATCCTTTTCCTTCTCTCTAGTCCGCATACAATCCACCAGCGCACGCACAAACGATCACCCTGTTTATGTGTGCAAGA